CCAAGCAGAGACATAGGACACTCAGCCCTAACAAGGAGATGTAGGATGCAGTGAAAACTAAGTCCCAGTGTTCTGGGTTCCTGGCTACAGTCGGGCCTTGATGAGACAGACCTCAATCAGGAAGAGACAGATCTAGTCAAGGCCCTAGCTGAGGCAGCCATAAACATAACCTGACCCCTTCTTTTTCACAGTACAGGCACAGACTGTACTCTGGGTGGAGTGGAAGTAGAAAGAGGATGGGCAAAACAGACTTAACTACAATAGTTCAGTGCTCACTCCCATCTTTTTAGTATTAAGGCTCAAGAAGGCTGATTCTGAAGGAGACAGAAGTTAACCTCAGCTATCTGCCTCTCTGGGTTATGGTGAAGTCATTGGCAGCCTTGCATAAAGTCCCTTGCTTTGGGTCAAGGGAAACCAAGAATGGTCATGGCTGTGTTCTCCTGTATTTGGATGTAAAGGTGAAACTCTCATCCATCTCACTCATCTCAGTCCATTCAGCAGATGGCTGCGAGTTGGGAACCGAAAAATAAAGACTGGTCTAGTAAAAACACACAGGCCTTGTACATCTCACTACTGCCTTCTCAGGGTCCGAATTAGATCACTTACGGCAAGAACTCCAGGATTACTATAAAGAAAATGAATGGCCCACAAAATCTCTCCTTTACCCAGTACCTCCTGGTACAAGACATTGTGCAAAGGAGAATTAATATCTAGTTCTTCCTCTCAAGGAGCTCAAAGTTGACATATAAGTTAGACAGACATTTACCTTTACATATGACCCTTTAGTCCAGGAAAAAAAAACAGTTGTGTGTTTTTTTTAAAGACGTCTAAAGTTGTTTTCATCTGAATTAGTTGCCAACATTAAAAAAATTGGAGATATCACCAAATAAAACAAAACAGAAAACCTGGAAAGACTGGAAGATCTAGCCACCCTAGGTCTACATTCCTGCCAGACAGCAATAGCACAAGGCACAGTAGCTGCTGCCCCCTTCAGGTAGAACATGCTGTCTCCACCTCCTAGGTTTTACCTAGGGAAGAAGCTAGATAAAATGAATGAATGTCTATGAACATATATAAGTTACCAAAACTGAACCTAGAGAGAGCAAATCTAAACAGGTCAATGGCTTAGAAGAAACCGTGAAAGTTATCAAAGTGCTATCTTCTTTAAAAAAGCATCAGGCTTAGACAGTTTTACAGGTGAATTCTACCAAAATTTAAAGAAACAAATAATTTCAAAAGTATTTAAGCTGTCCAAAGGAGAGAAAGGAAAGTTAAGAATAGAAAGGTATAAAAAACATTATTACAACTTGGCAAAGATACTATCAAAAAAGAAAATTACAGAAGTCTCACAAATAATGATGCAAAATTTCTAAATAAAATAATACTAGAATCTGGTTACACAATAACAGAGTTCACCCCAAGTCTACAATGATGATTCAATAATAGAAAATCCATTACTATAACTCAGCACATTAACAGATCAAGGGAGAAAATCTGTATATCATTACATAGATGCTGAAGTGGCATTTGATAAAATTCAACAACCATTTTTGATTTAAAAAACCCCACAACATCAGCAACACATCCATTAGTAAAATAATCAGCATGGCACTTAATGACAAAAACACTACAAGCATTCTCATGAAAGCTGGGGAAAAGAACTTTGCTCTAAAAATACAATGCACTTAGAAAAGAGAAAGAAATAAGAGAGATAAAAATTGGAAAGCAAGGGACAAACTTCTTACTGGCAGTTGACATGATAGTCTACCTGGAAAATCCAAGAAAATTAACTAGAAAAGCTATTAGAAACAATAGCATAAGTAAGTTGCTGGTTACAAAATCAGTCATACAACTAAGAAGAATATGTAATATAAGAAAGGATTCTATTTACAATAACAAAAAAGATAAAATAACTAGGAATAAACTTTAAGAAATGTACAGGATTTTAAGACAAACTAATTGAAAAAAGACATTTCTGAGACAATTGGGGAAATCTATATGTGGACTGGACATTATATAACATTAATATTGTTAATTTTGATTAATATGATAATAGCACTGGGGTTATGTACATTTTGAAAAGTCCTTATCTGTTGAAGATACACAGTGAAGTATTTATGCATACAATGATTTGTTTTAAAATACTCCAGTCCTCTACCCTACAAAAAAATAGATGGGAGGAGGGGTAGATGATTCAAGATTGGCAAAATATTGGTATCCATTGAAACTAAGCGATGATACCTTGGGATTCATTATATTATTTTCTTTACTTTTATATATTCGAAAATGTCCACAATAAAAAGTTCAAAGAAACGTGTAGGACCAAAACAAAACCTACAGGGTTTCCAAGGAGCTGCTGGTGGATTTGAACTGCCAACCTTTTGGTTAGCAGACAAGCTCTTAACCACTGTGCCACCGAAACAAAAGACGGGCATAAAAGATATAATAAGTACAAAAGGCAATAAGCTTATAAAAACACACCCAAAAATGCTGCCTGACAATTAAGAAAGGAGCCCTGGTGGCTCAATGGTTAAGTGACTGACTGCAAACCAGAAAGGTCAGCAGATGGAACCCACCAGCAGCTCCAAGGGAGAAAAGATCTGGTGATTTGCTCCCATAAAGATTACAGCCTAGGAATTTCTATGGGGCAGTTCTACTCTGTCCTATAAGGTTACTAACAACAACAATTAAGAAATGCAAATTAAAGCTACGAATCAGATGGCATTTTTCACCAATCAGATAGACAAAGATCAAAATATCTGGTAATATACAGTGTTTGTGAGTGTGTGTGTGTGTGTGTGTGTTTGTGTGTGTGAAGACATCTTACATTGTTGGTGGGAGTACAAATCGGTACAACTTCTTTTGCAGGTAATTTGATTTTATCTTTCAACATTATAACACATACATCCCTTGGTACAGCAATTCCACTTCCAGGATAGTTACAGATACTCATTCAATACGTTTATCTTCTCTCACGCACCATGTGCCAGGCACTGAAGATACAATAGCCAAGAAAACAATGTACCTGCTCTCATGGAGCTTCCACTTTAGCGCAGGAGGAGATGGTCAATAAAGCAAGTCACCAAGTACACATGTAATTATAGTATCAGGTAAGTGATAAGTGCAATGAATAAAAAAGTAAACAGAATAAGGGGGTTGAGAGTGAGGAGAAGACTACTTTGGGCGGGCTGGTCCCGGAAGATCTCTTTGAGGTGACAGTTGAGCAGAGACCTGAATGAAGGAGAACACAAAGCATGAGAATGCTGAGGAGAGTGTTCCAGGCAATAGGGAAGGAAGCCAGGAATAATGAACAAATTTGGCCTTTCCTTCATTTTTCTTTTTATTCCCCTAACAGCCTTTTGTTCATCCAAAGGATATGCATGGGCACCACTTAAATGTCTCTCTTTGACTCCTCACATAAAAATAAAAATTAATCAGATGCTTTTAATACAGTAGATCTTTTCAGGAAGGTGCTAGTTCAGCGTTGTTCCCCCCAAACCTTTCTGTGCGTAACAATCTGATTTCTTCAAAGGATGGATTTCCCATTTTTTCTAAGTGCTATGCCAAACCTGTTAATAAAACTGCATTAAAGCTAAATTATGAGTTTTTAATGCACATAAATATTTCCACAGCAAAGAAAACAGATTAGTTTACAAAAGATATCGACCAGTTGCTAGATCATTCTACACACCTACACAAACACACACAAACTCAGTCCCTGCCTTTCTGGCAGGATTGAGAGCCACTGATTTGGAGGGTTCTATAATTTAATTTCATTATCTTTTAAGCAATGCAGTTGAAATTTCAGTTTTCTTTAAGGGCTATTTGGATAAATATTTTATAGTGAAGTGGCCAGTGTCAATTAAGGGCGTTCTAGTTGACCCCAAGAAAAATGACTTTGCTATAAGACCTGTTAACACTACATGCTAACTTCTTGAAACGACACCAAGAAACACCAAGGCTCCAAAATTGCCATAAATGATATGTTCTACGAACAGCCAAAAGACCAGTACGTGAGGAGAGAAATTTGACCCTGTGAAATATGATCCTATCTCAATTTCAAAGCCAGCTTTACATAAATGTATTCATCTCCTACCCAATGGGGGAACCCAAACAACTGAAAGACTTCAGGATTGTATGGTGATTCCCTTCTTGGACTAAATCATCGGGACTGATTTCAAGTGCCACCAGCCATCTGCACATCACAGGACAGGTTTCCCTCCAACAGCTGAAGGTGCATCCTTCCTTTCCCTTGGGCATCGCGAGCCATTTAATCCTTCCCCAAAGGTCCAGCATTTCCGAGCAACGAAGGCCACTTCTGACTACTAGTTACCCGAAGAGAATAAGAATAACCGAAGTGAGAATTGGGGTTGCTGCGAAGCTTCCACACACGCCAATCCAGTTAGAGGGGCGCTCGCTCACGCACTTGGGTTTGGGTTCAATGCAGAAGAGGAGAGCCGGATACACTCCAGTGCTCTCTGGGTCCGCAGCCCGCTACTCCATGTCCCACCTCTTAAGTGCCTCGCGTCCAGGGGCCTCCCCAGGGATTTCCTTACCCCCTCCCTTCCTCGCCCGCTCAGGGTTCTGATTTCTCGGCCGGTCCAACCCCCTAGGAGGGGCTGTTGTCCAGCCCTGCTGCCGAAGGGGTCCCCACGGGCTTATCTGGGAAAGGTGTGGAACTGGGTTGGGAGTGCCGGGGGTGTGAGGGGGAGGTATGGTGAGACAGAAGAGGACACCCGGGGACTGAGGGGTAGATGGGGAGTGCTCCTCCCGGCAGGTAACTCGGGAGGGGGTAGGGACCTCGGGGGCTGCCCGCGGGCCGAACTTGCCAGCCAGATGAAGAAGGGGTCCGGGGATGCGTCGGAACAGAACACTGGGGGGACAGGGACGCAGGTAAGGGGCGCTCCAGCAGGCAGGTAACTTGAGGAGGGATGGAAGGCTCGGGAGCTACCTGCTGGCCAGGTAAGTGGCCCCGCCCCGCCCCTGGCGCAGCGCCTCACCTGCCCAGAGCCCGCTTCATGCCCGCGTCTGCCGCGCAACGTTGCTCGGCCGGCCCCTTGCCCGCCAGACGTAGGTTCTGCTTCAGGCGGCAGTCGGCGTCCAGCGCCGCAGCGGCCGAGCCTGAGGAGGATGAGCCCGAGGCGACGCAGCGCTCATGCTCCAAGGCGACGGGCTCGGTCCGCTTCCTCATTCCGCGGCCGACAGGGCCCGCCGCCGAGGGCGCCAGCTGACCTCGTCCGCCCGCCTGCGCCGCTCCCGCAGCAGTCTCCACTGCCCGGAGTCTTCGCCGCAGCCGCCACCGCCCGGAGCCCGCAGCCCCTCACATCTCAGCCCAAGCGGCGGCGCCTGGCTACCGACTGCCACCGGCCTGGCGGGCCACGCCGACCAATCAGCGCCGGGATCCCGCCGGCCCCGCTCCACCCATGCCCGCCCCCTGCGTTCCTTCGCCCTAGTTTCATGAGGAGCGCACCCATCCGGCGCCAGCCCGCAGCCATCTTGGGGTAGGGCGGGCGAAGCCGCGGCCGCGCGTCATCTTAAGGGCAAGGCCAAGTGGACTGCAAGTCTTGCTGAGCCAGGGCGTGGGCTGCGCAGGAGGTGAGAGTTGCCTTCGCGAGTGTATTGAGCAAATGCACCACGGTCGTGCTCCAGATCACTAGCTGAACGGTGAGAACAGGGGAGGAGTGGCCACAACGGGCAGCCCCTCCGCTCGCACTCCACACCGGAAACCCAGTTGGAATAAACCCTGGAAAAGTTCTTAAATGTTTTAAGAACACAAAAAGAAAGGTAACATCACAATTCTGTTCTGATGTGTGTGTGTGTGTGTATGTGTAACACAAATGTTTCTCCACCTCGGGAATGGTAATTCCATCCTTGCATTACCTCAGGCCAAAACCTTGGGGTCATCATTGGTTCTTCTTTTCATATGCCACAGTAGTCTCCTGTGGGTGGTGCAAACCATTAAGGCCTCCCTGCTACCTTAAAGGTTGGAGGTTTCTGTCCCCTAGAGGTGCCTCAGAAGAAAGGCCTGGTGATCTACTTCTGAAAAATCAGCCATTGAAAACCCTGCAGAGTACAGATCTAGTTTCACATACATAGGGGTCACATGAGTTGGAGTTGACTGACAGCAACTGGTGTGCCACAGCATGTTATCTTTCAGCTCTACCTTCAAAATCAATCTAGGATCCAACCACTGCTCATTACCTCCACCATCATCTCTCACCTGGATTATTTTAATAGCCTAGCTGGTGTCCTTTGCCCCACTTCAGCTGACTTAACTCACTCACCACAGATGTCCTTTTAAAAAAAAAAAAAATTTAACCTAGGTCAGATCCTGTCACTGTCAAAACACTTCAACAGCTCCCCATCTCACTCAAAATAAAATCAAAAGTTTATGAAGTGGCATAAGGGCCTGTCTGATATGGCTTCCAACCTCTTCCTCACTCACCCTGCACTGGAAACACAGCCTCCATGTATTCCTTGTGCACAGGCCACCCGAATCCCCACACACCCCCCACCAGGGCCTTTGCACTTGCATTGTTGCTGCCAGGCATTCTCTGCACTTCCCACTGCCACGTGTCCACATCACTGCCTCCCTCCCATTCTTCAGTTTTGTGCCTTCTCTGAGCGATTTAACTCAGAACCCTCAGACCCTGGCACCATCACTCTGTTCTTCTTTGACTTATTCTTCTTAGCACATATCACCAATATATCTGTCATGAATGTATCTATGTATTGCTGTTTTCCCACACTAGGACATGTACTCTGAGACCAACGATTTTGCTCACTGCTTTGCTCAGTGTCTACAACAATGCTGACACATCCAAGCCAAACCAAACCCGTTGCTGTCGAGTCGATTCTGACACATAGTGAGCCTACAGACATTTAATAAATATTTGCTGAAGGAATGGTTGAATCATACAACCCCAGAGGCTGTGATCCCTGTAAAATGATCCCCTTTTACACGTAAGGAAGTGAGTCTCAGGGACATTAAGGGACTTTACCTAGGGGCCTAAATGGAAAATATTTATACGATAGCAGAAAAGCACATGAATGCTGGTCTTTGGACCACAATCCTGCAGCACGTTCCAAGGTAGAATTGTGTACTTCATTTAAAAAAAAAAAATTGACTAAGTTATCCCTTACTGTAGAGCTGAAAAGGAAACGTCACTCAACGTAAAGATAAGATTCTGAGGCTTTGTTTTTAAAGTAGGCCATTCCCATGCCCATAACTTAGACCACAGATCTACTGTATCCATATTTGGAAAAGAGCAACATAGTTTCTCGGGTTAGCTAGAATTAATCCAAGTAATATTGCTCTTTAAAAAATAGCCAAATTAGGAGGCAGGGCCAAGATGGCGGAGTAGTCAGATGCTTGGGTGGTCCCTCTTACAACAAAGAACTGAAAAAACAAGTGAATCGGTTATATATGACAATCTAGGAGCCCTGAACATCAAAGGCAAAGTTGAGGAGTCCGACTGAGTGGCAGGGGGAGGTACAGACAGTTCAGAAGCAATGAGGACCTGACCCAGTGGGAGCCAGAGCCCTTCAGCCCAGATCAGCTCGTGGTGCTTGGTGAGGCAGGCAAGCAGCAGCACTTGGGAGGCGTTTTCCACACCAGGAGAGACCTAGTGGCACAGAATCTACTCAGCCATCCAGAACTAGTGAGAAGCAGCCCTTGACTGGCAAAAGATAAGTCTTTGTGTCTGGTCTACCACACAGATCAAAAGCACCCTCCTTAGGGAAAAACCTCTCTCCCATTTACCTCCCTGCTCCCTGCTCTACACTGGGTCCAGGACCAGCTTCAGCAATTGCCGAGTCCCCTGGGCTGGAAGTAGGACCCGTCACATGCCGAGCCATTCTCCTGGCCTTGGAGAGGGAACAAATTTAACACACGGAGAAAAAAAAATCTGCCAGCTCCCCTAAACCAGGAATTCAGCGTAGGCACAGCTCCTTTGCATAGGCACAGGCATAAGGGATCCACAGACTTTCAGTGCCTTTCCTCCTGCATAGGCTTGTGTGGGCCCATTTCAACAGCATAGGCCCTCATTACCACAGTATAAGAGGCTATATACCTGAAGTCTAACTTCAACTGTTTAAGCTGTGAAATAGCAGGTTCGTGTCATTTGACACTGCTCTGCCCATTAAGCAGGGTCTTCACCTACCTATATCAAAGGCCTGAAGACTGGTGGCTCCATCCACGCCACCTAGCCACCTCTAACAGGGGCCCAAGAATAAGACGTGCCCCCCAGTCCTTACAGCCAACAGCATTGGGTGCTCAAAGTCTGGCTGCAAAACCTACCCAGCTACGAGCTCTAACGAACAGAGATACGCTTTCCTCCTGGACACTCAGGCGCGGCCGTCAGACCCATCTTGCTCAGCATGTGTCCCCTTGCTACAGCCAGATGCCTGTGCCTACACCAATCACCCATCCCTGTCTACGACTGTAGGTGAGAGTCTGCACCACACACTTGGTGGCTGACTACCTGGACACCTGAGCTGAATCCATACAGGAGGAGTGGGCAGACTCCTTGGCTCACATACTTAGTGGCAGGTCTGGCCACCTGGTGGCAGGACGTTGGAGCTTTAGGGACACCGGTGATCAGGCAAGCTCACACAAGCAGCCTATTTGGGCATATCAAAACAAAGCAAAACAAGAAGCTAGGACACAGTAAGCAAACATAAATAAATATAATAACGTATTGATGGCTCAGAGACAACAGTCAATATCAAATTACATGAACAGGCAGACCATGATGGCTTCAGCAAGCTCCCAAAATAAAGAATCTAGAAATTTTCCAGGGGAAAAAAATTTCTTGGAATTACCAGAGGCAGAATACAAAAGATTAATATACAGAACTCATCGAGAAATCAGGAAGGAAATTAGGCAAAACACAGAACATGCAATAGACGGACTTTAGAGAAGAGCATAATGACAAATTTAATGGGCTGCAAGAATCCATAAAGAGACAGCAATCAGAAATCCAGAAGATTAACAATAAAATTTTAGAATTAGATTTTCAATAGAAAGTCATAGGAACAGAATTGAGGCAATGGAAGTCAGAATTACTGAGATTGAAAACAAAGCACACTTGACACCAACTTATTTGAGGAAAAATCAGATAAAAGAATTTAAAAAATGAAGAAACTCTAAGAATTTTGTGGGATTCTATCAAGAGAAATAACCTATGGGTGACTGGAGTACCAGAACGGGGTGAGGGGGTGGATAACAGAAAATACAGAGAGAATTGTTGAAGATTTGTTGGCAGAAAACTTCCCTGATATCGTGAAAGATGAGACGATATCTATCCAAGATGCTCATCGAACCCCACATAAGGTAGATCCCAAAAGAAAGTCACCAAGACATATTATAATCACACTTGCCAAAACCAAAGATAAAC